TATCCCCGCAGAGGCTTGGCCAGGACCCCAGCACGGTGCGCAGAGGACTTCTGACTACTTCGCCCCTGGAGCGCCCTGATCCTGGACCTCCTCTGAAGAGCCTCATTGATCCTGGAGACCTGCGCTGAAACTCGCCTCCTCTTCCCGTTTGTAGCATCGCCGCCTAGATCACAGCGATAAGCCACTTGGGCTGGAAACCGAATTCGTTCTGGCCATGATGCAGATCCTGGGACGCAACATGCTGGCAAACTTAATTGTCTCAGCACACACCACATTTGTCACAGGAGATGGGACGCTTCCTGCCTATCGGCGGCGAGCCAAGGGGGGGAAGTGAGAAGGAGAATGCCTTCTCAGAAGGCGGAGTGACTTCTCAGAAGCCCTCGCGCCTTCTGATCTACGTTTGTTTGTCTTCGGCGAAGGCTCAGAAACTTTTTCAGAAGGCCAGGGGATTTCCAAGCCTTCTGAGAAGGCCCGCCCTTTCTCACTTCCCCCGCAGGCTCGCCACCGAGCCTAGCATGCCCTCAATGAGCGTCTGAATCCCCTGAGCGGCCTGAAGTTTTTAACCGTGGCTTGCCCTCTTATCACATGGAAGCTGATATCATCAATGAGGTTCTCGCTCCCAATCAGGTTGCACTTCACTCCGATGCTTCTCAGCGTCGTTATCGTCATCAACTTTGCTAATCCAGTTGCGCATAAGCAACCCGCAGTGGTGGAACCGTTCGCATGGATGATTGTCGACATCGACTGCTGGTATGAGACCCTTCTGGGCCCCCTGTACAGGGTACAGACCTGCCGCAAAAGGGCCAGTGGGAAATCCGTATCTTTAGCCGCACAGAGTTCGCTGTAACCAACGCCGACGTGTGCCGGTAAGACGCCGTGGATGTCCCCCGTCTTGTGCATGTTCGGGACGTTCAGGAGGCGCCGGCCTGCGTCTGGGTCGCCTTGAATCGTGCCGCACTCGTCTACGGCCCTACGGCCTGCAGGAAGACGAGGGGGACGCCGAGGCGCCGCGCGTCGCGACGAGCGCGCGTGTTGATCCACCTCGCCAGCGTCTCCCAGTAGATGCCCATGCCGTAACCGAGCCGGAAATTCTCGTGCTGGTGCCGTGGGTCCAGGACGCCGTGGTTGTCAGAGGCCAGCGTCTTCTCCCAGGCAGACCAGACCTCTGGTGGGAAGCGCTTGCCCTCGCGCGTGCAGCCCAAGAGCGCGATCAGAGGGTCCCCCGGCTCGAAGCGCTTCGTGCCCTTCAGCTCGAAGACGCAGGGGATCTGAGAGAATACCCTGATGGCGTGCTGGATCTCCACCGTCGGCGGCTCCGCGTACTTGTACGACCCGTCGTCCAGGAGCTCGTTCACGTCCGTCAGGAGCCCGATGCTGCCGGTGGGCTTCAGCTGCAGGAAATCCCCGAGGTGCAACACGATGGGGACGCGGCCGAAGTGGTGGTGCGGCCTCTTGTAGGTGGACTCCTGCACGTCGTGCGTGTCACTGCGCCCGTGGCAGGCGCGAAGGTCCAGCGCGTTGTACAGAGCAGCTGCCACCATGCTTACCTCCTCGATGACCAGGACGCGGACGTGCTCCCACAACCACTGCAACCTCTTCTGCATGCCCCCCGGTCTCATCTTCGCGTTGATGTACTTCTGGACTCGCAGGGCACAGGCGTTGTGCAGCGTTCTGGCTTTCACCGTCTCCGTGGAGATGTTCTTCGCCTGCGCGTTCGAGAAGGCCACGACCATCATGGCGCCCTTGTCCTGCGCCGACGAGGGCCACAAATACTCCACCACTGGGAAGACGATCTTCTGAACCACGTGCGTCTTGCCCGAGCCGCCCTGGCCCAACAGCAGCAAGTGCGTTACTTTTCTCTCGCTCCAGGGGTTCCTCTGCGCGTCGTCCTCCCAGGCGTCGTCGCAGGCCTTGGCGAACCTGGCGACGAAGAGCGTCTGGTCCCGCGTGAGTCTCTCGTTCTCTGGCAACCCAGCGACCAGGGCCGCGATGTACGCGCTGGGCGTTGAGTACACGCTGCTGGCAAAACTGGCCGCAGCGGGGTCGCCGCCCAGGCCGCCTGCGCCCTCGTCCTCGCCGTCCGGAGCGCCTGCATCGTCCTCGTCGCGATTGCCCTGGAGGCGTTCGTCGTGCAGGTTTGCCCAGGCGTGTCTCTCCTCGCGCGCTGCGGCCACCAGAGGTCGGTACCCGGTCGCGGGCGTGGGAGTGGTCGCGGCCTCCGTCGGCTCGGGCGCACCCGCGCCCTCGCGGGCCGCTTCGGACATGCACGGGAGCGCGAGGAGCTCCTTGGCCAACCTTGTGAGGCGCTTGCGGTGCGCGAAGTTCAGCACGTCCGCCATGTCCTGCTCCCCGTCGATGCCCCACGTCGGGACCGGCTGGAAGTGCGCTCGGACCGCCAAGGGGGGCGCGCCCGGGTGCTCTGCGCCCTCGCCCGCCTCGGCGCCCTCGTCTTGACCGGCGCCCCCACCGGTGGTCGCCTTGAGGTACGCGCTCTGCACGGCCGCGTCGCTCTGGTACTGCCGGGGTTTCTTCTCCTCGCGCGCCAGGGCGATTCCCTCGAGGCAAACCGCTTGAGACATCCCCACAAAAAAGGCTCTCAAATCCCCTCGGTGTTTCCGTTGGGCTGCCTGACACTTCCTCACAATTCACTCACAGACGAGGCTCCCGCTTGATATTCCTCCATATTCAGACCTGAGGAGCCCAAAAGTGACGACAGTTACAGGTTTGAGGATGACCCGCTCAGATTCAAATGTGAACTGCGGGCCCCATAGGGAGGGGGCTCCCGCCTGAGACTTCCACGCAATTCACTCACAGACGAGGCTCCCGCTTGATACTTCCTCCAAATTCAGACCTGAGGAGCCCAAAAGTGACGACAGGTACAGGAATCCGATGACCCGCTCGGATTAGTAACATGATCTTCGGGCCCCATAGGGAGGGGGCTCCCGCCTGAGACTTCCTCACAATTCACTCACAGACGAGGGTCCCGCTTGATACTTCCTCCAAATTCAGATTTGAGGAGCCCAAAAGTGACGACAGGTACAGGAATCCGATGACCCGCTCGGATTAGTAACATGATCTGCGAGCCCCATAGGGAGGGGGCCCCCGCTTGAGATCTGTTTGCAATTCACTGACAAACGAGGCTCCCGCCTGATACTTCCGCCAAATTCAGACCTGAGGAGCGCAAAAGTGACGACAGTTACAGGAATCCGATGACCCGCTCGGATTAGTAACATGATCTGCGGGCCCCATAGGGAGGGGGCTCCCGCCTGAGACTTCCTCGCAATTCACTCGCAGACGAGGCTCCCGCTTGATACTTCCTCCAAATTCAGACCTGAGGAGCCCAAAAGTGACGACAGTTACAGGAATCCGATGACCCGCTCGGATTAGTAACATGATCTTCGGGCCCCATAGGGAGGGGGCTCCCGCCTGAGACTTCCTCACAAGTCACTCACAGACGAGGCTCCCTCTTGGTGGATGATGGTGATGGGATGATGACGACGGTGTTTGATGATGATATATGATTGATGATGATGATTATGATGATGATGGTGGTGGTGGTGGTGGTGGTGATGATGACGACATGATGATGATGGTGGTGATGATGAGTGCTGATGGTGAGTGATCGTGCGATTCTGATGGTTAATGGTGGTGATGATGATGGGGACGAAGTGGTGAGTCAGCGAGTAGTGATGATGATGATGATGATGATGATGATGATGATGATGATGATGATGATGATCGTTCGATGCCGATGATGGTGAGTGATCGTGCGATGGTGATGGTGATGCTGATGGTGATGATGTTGATGAGTGGGGAGTGATGGTGATGGTGATGATGATGCGGAGGAGGAAGCAACGAGGAGCAGAGGAGAGGGAGGAGGACGAGAGATCCTGCGCGGAGGGTGTGCAGAGAAAAAACAAGAACCCCACTTAGGATGTCGGGAAAAATAGTAAAAAGTTGTCAGGGGACGATTCTGTTACTAATTTTGAGCATGTTTGGGATATTTCTTTGACTGTTTTAAAATTCTTCGTCCAAAATCCGCCTGTAGGAGGACATGCCCGACCTCAAACTGGGCCGCTTAGAAAAGAACGGGAACTCGGGGATGCACCCCGGCGGGGCCACTCGGACGTACCTCTATCGAGGATGGGACGCCCCCCCTCACACAACCCCGAGTTTGGGGCCCTCGATTTGTTTGTCCAGTCGAGAGCCCAGCAAGGTCAGGGACTGGGATGGCCAGTACTCCCCATCGTAATTTCTCGTTCCACTCAATCGTAGGTATGCCCAGGGCATGCTTCTGGCAGGTCTCCTCCTCCTCCTCCTCCTCCTCCTCCTTCGGTCCACCTTGGCCGACGGTTTTCCCGCAAGCTGCTCAGCATGGTCTTATATCCGACTCTCTCGCCGCGCCGGCTGACCTCCAGGGGACCGCTCCGGTTGCCCGAGGTGGCATGCGGACTCAACGCGTCTACAGTAAATGCTTGCTGCTAGGACGGCCTCTTACGCGGCCTCTGAGGCAAAGAAGGGCTGCGGAGTTTGGGAAACCTTGTTGCAGACCCGTCTCTCCCGCCCGTGCCGCACTGTGCATGCGACTACGTGCGCAGCTAACTCATTCTGACCTTCGCAGGATGCTCGAAGCACCGTCGCATGGGATCTCCTGGACGACGCAGCGGCAAGATGGCAGCGCCGTCAAGACTCACGACTGGAGCCCGCGGACCCGGTCGCTCCGCGCCGAGGCCGGGCGAGAGCGCCCAGCGCGGCTCGGATCCTTCTTCTTCGGGGGTCGGGCAAAGTCGGGCCTGCTCCTCGACAGGGGGAATCTTCAAACATAGCTAAAACAAATAGTCGGGGGACTATGCTGTCAGTATGTTTGAGCATCAGGGGGGGTGTTTGTTTTGATTTTTTGTTTCCCCCATTTTTCGTCCAGAATCCGCCCGTAGGGGGACACGCCCGACCCAAGGGTCGGGCGGCCAGGGGCGAGCGCTGAGCGCGCGGCCGGCCGGGAGGCCCCCGTGCTGCTGTCCAAGAGCAGCTTCGCGGGCGCGGCCACGCTGAAGGGGGCGCTGAAGGAGGGCGTGCAGCTCCTGGATCGCCGCGAGCCCGCCCCGCCCCGCCTCTCCCCCTTGGAGCTCCTCGAGGGCCCCTCGGGGGCCCTCGGGAGTGCCTCGGGGGACTCGGGGGTCGGGAGCCTCTGAGAGGGCCTGGGGCCTGTCCAGGGCGTTGCAGGGTCTGAAGGGCCTCGGGGGCCAAGGGTTTCGGGGCCAACAGGGGCCCCCAGGGAGTCCGAGCTTCGAGCGGTTCTGAGGCTCGTGATCTCAGGGGGCCTTGGATGCTTCGAGGGTTTCAGGGTCTTCGAGCGCTTCGAGGATCTCGAGGGTATCGAAGAGTCGAGGACTCGAGCGAGAGGATATACATATATATATATATATATATATATATATATACATACAGAAAGTGAGAAAGGGAGAGAACGAGAGAAAGAGACATCTCTCTATACATATGTATATACATATGTACAGACAGAGGCAGTAACACACATATATATATATATATACATACATATATATATGTGTAGAGAGAGAGAGAGAGAGAGAAAAGAGAGAGAGAGAGAGCGATAGACAACAAAGGGAGAGAACGAGAGAGAGAGAGAGAGAGAAAAAAAGAGAGCGGGAGAGAAATACTGATATTGTGCGGAAGAGGAGGGTGAGGAGGATGATGAGGAGGAGGAGGACCAGTGTAAACCCAAGACTCACCAACAATGTTAGAATACACCCTCCCTTCCAAGCTTTCTCTTCATGGGCCCCATAAGGGTTCCATTCCACTGAGGGGATTGCCCCGTTGGGGGACAATCGTGTGAACATCTTTAGGGATGCCAAACCACCATCCTCAGGACTTCAACGCCACGAGTTAACATGGTTGTTGCGTGTTGGCTACCCTGAGCCGTGCCAGAACACCATTCCCGCGAATCAGCGTATATGTCGCGCCCTGGTAATCCTGCATCGCTTCAAACACCATTTCTGGTGCGTGAACCATGAGAACCAGTGGAACTCTTGTATTCTGTTAGAGAACGAATGTTCGCGGCGCTGAGGCGAGGGCTGCATTTTGAAAAGGAGCCACCCTCAATCCGTGGAGCTCTTGCATTTTGTACACCGAATGTGCTCGGCGCTAAGGCGAGAGCCACATTTAGAAAACCATCCGCCCTCAATCCGTGAAACTCTTGATTTGTGCCAACCATCCTGTGGTGTTGGGTCCTCGTTCTGAAGAGACGGTCCCCGTGTTCCTCCCTCCTTCCTTCCTCCTCCTCCTCCCCCCTCCCTGCGTTTCACCCACCCTGTACAGCGGGTCGTGGCCCCGTACGGAGCTCCACCGGAGGCGCATGCGTCCCGAAACATCCACTTTGGCATTTTCACCCACCCAGTACAGCGCTTCGTGGCCCCATAGGGAGCTCCACCGAAGCCCCCAGTGCCACCGTCCGCACGCGTCCCGAAACACCCAATGTGGCATTTTGCACCCACCCAGTGCAGCGTTTCGTGCCCCCATGGGAGTTCCACCGAAGGCCCGCGTGCCACCGCCCGCCAGCGTCCCGAAACATCCAATTTTGCATTTTCGCCAAGTCGGTACAGCGTTTCGTGGCCCCATAGGGAGCTCCACTGGAGGCCCCAGTGCCACCGTCCGCATGCGTCCCGAAACGTCAAATTTGGCATTTTCGCAAATTCGGTACAGCGCTTCGTGGCCCCATAGGGAGCTCCACCGAAGCCCCCAGTGCCACCGTCCGCATGCGTCCCGAAACATCCAATTTGGCATTTTCACCGACCCAGTGCAGCGTTTCGTGGTCTCACAGGGAGCGCCACCGAAGGCCCAAGTGCCACCGTCCGCATGCGCCCCGAAACATTTAATTTTTCACCCTCCCAGTACAGCGTGTCGTGGCCCCATAGGGAGCTCCACCGAAGGCCCCAGTGCCACCGTCAGCATGCGTGCCGAAGCATCACATTTGGCATTGTCACCCATTCGGTACAGCATTTCGTGGCCCCATAGGGAACTCCACCGACGGCCCTAGTGCCACTGTCCGCATGCGTCCCGAAACATCAAATTTGGCATTTTCACCCACCCAGTACAGCGATTTGGAGGAGGAGGAGGAGGAGGAGGAGGAGGAGGAGGAGGAGGAGGAGGAGGAGGAGAGGAGGAGGAGTAGGAAGAGGAGGGGAGGAGGAGGAGGAGGAGGAGGAGGAGGAGGAGGAGGAGGAGGAGGAGGAGGAGGCGGAGGAGGAGGCGGAGGTGGAGGAGGGGGAAGGGGCAGAAGGAGGAGGCCTGACGCCTCGAGCCTGCGCTCGCGCGCTGGTTCTGAGAGGAACAGGGAGGAGTGCGGCAGGCTCGCGTCGTGTCGACGCGGCGGCGACCCTTTCGCGAGCTCTAGAGGTTGCACGCGGCTGGCGGCCCAGAACCTGCCGATGTCGAACGATCTGCGCTGTCGAAGCACCGCGACCCTCCAGGGCTGAACGGTCCGCGCAGTGTCAGAGCCCAAGGCCGAAGTCGCCACGGAACCAGCCTGCCGAAGCTACAGCCAAGACGTTGCAGTAAGGAACAGTTTGGGTTCCGAAGGGCTCGATGTCCCTCAGGTCCTTCCATGGCTGTTTCTCTAGTGCCCCGTCCATCCAGGCTCGTCTTGGACCAAACAAAAGGCTTCGTTGCTGGCCTACCGCTCCTCATTTCCAGTAGCCCGACTGTGATGAGGGGGCGGGCGGGGAGGGGAGAGGTCGGCGGTGACCCCAGGGGGGAAGTGAGAGGGGGCAGGCCTTCTCAGAAGGCGGCGGGGTCTGAGAAGCTCTGCGAGCCTTCTCTGGAGCCCCAGGCAGCCTCTCAGGCAGACTGGAGTGCTCCTGAGCTGCCCCGCCGCCTCCTGAGAAGGCCTGCCGCCGCCGTCAGGGGAGAGGGGGGGCCCGGGGGACCCGCCTCGGCCGCCAATCCGCCCCCGTTGGCCGGGGCGCCTCCCGCGCGGGGGGGCGGTCAGTCGCCGAGGCGACGGCGCGATTCGGAGTCGACCGGGGGCGCGCGCTCCGATGGGCGCACGGGGGCAATGATGGGGGCGGATAGGCATCGGGGGGGATGCATCGACCCCCAATCGCCCATTGATCGCCGAGAGGGGCTCGTTAGCCCCAACCTGCCCAGGGAGGTGCGGAGAAACTATCGGAGGCCTCTCGCCGATCTATCGGCGATGTATCGCCGATTCCAGGCCGATGCATCCCCCCCTTCCTTGTGCCGGTTTCCCCCTGATCGTTGCCCCTCAGGGATGCTCGCGCGCGGCTGCAGTGGCGCACGGGGTTCTCCGAGCGAAGCAGTCGTGGGCGGGAGGGGCGGGCGAGCGACCAACCGCGGTGGAGGGGAGTGAGCCGAGCTAGATGCGCTCGCGCCATATTTGACATCCAATCCCTCTCTCTCCCATCCCTTCCCGTTGCGCTGATTTTTCTCCATCCGCGGATCCGTGTCATAGCCGATCTGGAACTCCAAGAAAGACCCCATGGTGTTTTGCGCAATCGGAAAAGGGGAGCTGGAAGAAGAGGAGGAGGAGGAGGAGGAGGAGGAGGTGGCTGATGAGCAGGAGGATGAGCAGGAGGAACAGGAAGATAAGGAAGGAGGAGGACAAGGAGGAAAAGCAGCTGCAGGAACTGGAGTGTAAGAAGTGGGAGCAGTAGAAGGTTGAGGGGTTAGATCAGGCGCTTCCAGACTTGACCGATGTTCCAACCTACTTTAGCCTTGATCACCAGAAAGCATTTCGAGCACCAGGGCAGTACCGAAACTCGAGGCTCGTCCGACACTGTTTCGACACTGTATCGACACTGTTTCGACACTCTTTCGACACTTTTCCGGGTGCTCGAAATTATTTCGGGGATGTGGTCCTCCAGTACGATGGGAGCAACGTAAGCTTAACCCTTCTTCTGGGAACCCTTGCACATGTTGCGACAATCTTCAATGGGATCTCTGGCCGCAGAATTTCTAAAACGAACTCTTCCCTGGAATCTCTGGCCGCAGAAATCTCACAAGACATCTCTTGCGAAATCTTTGGAAGATCCCCCCGACCCCCTCTGGTAGAAGTCTCCCGCGAAATCTCCAGGGAAATCCCCCCTCAAGACATCTCCAGCGAAATCTCCTGCGAGTCTCCCCCGCGTGAAGCATCTCCGGCGAAATCTTCTGCGAAGTCTCCAGTGAAATCTCTGGACAAATCCGCCCTCGCGAAAATCTTTGGATCTCCAGGTTTTTCGCGTGAGCCCAACAGAGTCCCGACACACACTGTAATAGTATGCTTTTCGAGCACCCTGCCCGCTTTGGCGGGGCCTCCCTGGATGGGGTGGAAGGGGCACGACGCCTTGCAAATAGTATGGTTTGCGAGTGTCCTGCCCGCTCTGGCGGCGGGGCGGAGGGGCATGGATACTTGCAGATAGCACTATGGTCTTCGAGCATTCTGCGCTCCGGCTGGGCCTCCTTGGAGGGGCGAGGGGGCACGAAACTTTTCACGCAATAAGGTTTACGAGTGCCCTGCCCGCTCCAGCGGGGCCTCCCTGGAGAGGTGGGAAGGGCCAGCTGCGACATCCACGCTGACATCCTCGACATCCGCCGCCTTGTCGTCGTCGTCATCCTTTTCTTCTTTTCCCCCTACGAGCCCGATGGGCAAACTCGACGCGTCCAATTCTTCATGTTTCGTTTGGCATTTGACATAGGCAAGTTTTCGTTCAGACTTTGCTTGAGGCTTTGCAGCGGCAAGCTGTGGTTTGATATCTTGCTCGCAATTCAGCAGAGGCAAAGGAGTCAGCATGGGGGAGCATGTCGTTGGAGGTGGAATTTGAGATTCCGTAGTGACAAGATTTCGTCGTGGATGTCATTTGGATTCTTCGCGGCAACATTTGTTTTGAGCTGTGTTTGATATGGTTCGGTCGTCGGATATTTTTGATATTCCAGATCTGCAGCAACGTCTTGGGCACCGCCAGGTCTAAACCAGCGGCAGGCCGAGGAGGGGAAATGAGGGGTGCGACAGCGATGAACATGGAACCGGATTCAGAAAAGTGGCCCGCGCTAGGGCGAGAGCGCCAGTCTGAACGACGGGAGCACAGCGCCGATCCGAAAATGAGACCCACGCTGCAGCGGGATTGCCATTTTGGACCCTTGAAAACAATCGGAGTGTACAACAGATATTATCAACAACAATTTTTGAAACCCTGTGCGCAAGAAGAGTGCGTGGAGATGGCCGAGCATCTTCCCGACAGCGACAGGGGAGCGAACAGAGTAGTATTCAGAACGTGCAACTGGGGGGGAGCGGGCGGGTCGGGGGGCGAAGCTTGGGCAGAGCGCGTCCGAGAGACTCTTTGCCCTCGGCTCCCGGGGTGGCCGCCAGGCCTGGCTGAGCCTGTTCAACGCCATCCCCTTCTTCTGCGTCTCGCACTCCGTCCGGCAGCTGCTGACCGCGCTGGTGGGGCCCCGCCGCCGCGCACGCCCCGCCCCTCCTGGGAGCCACGGACGCCCGCCCCCCCGGTGGGCCCTCTCGTCCGACCGGGCGCTTCGAGCACCCCGCTGTTGGTCTGTGTTCTCATGGGGCGTCCAGGAGGGGGGCGAGAACCAGGTGTGCGTGTGTGTGTGTATATATTGTGTGTGTGTTCCTGCGTGTGTACTTTGTGTGTGTGTAGCTGGCCCCGTCCGCGCTCCCTCGCTTGACTTGGAGTGCGCCGCGCCGCGGCGCGCGTGGCCGCGACGCCGCGGCGCGGCTTACTGCAAGTGTGTGTGTATATCATGGCCAGGGCCATGGGATCTCCCAGATGTCATGGCGCCCTCCTCATGCAGCACGTCCCCTGTCCGCGCAGATGCCTCGGACCATGATGCAGTCAACCCGCGTCGTGCAAATGGGCAACCTTCCCATGGGTATCCTTGCATCCCTGCGCTTTCGGCCCATCCTCAGCGACTTTCGCTGGCCAGCCTCGTTCGAAGAACGTTCACGCGGGCCTCCAAGGCCCTCGCATCCCTGCCGCGCATCCTCACGATACGGGTTGACTATAACCCCCCCTCTTCCGGGTCCCCCTCCTCGGCGCACCCGGCTGCGGAGGCGAGCTGGTTGCCAGCGAGGGGCGAGAGACGGCGACCGGAAGGGATGGCCCTGCCGTCGCCGGCCTCGCGCGGCGTGACCTCATTCTCCGGTCGCGGGCGGCGGTGGTGGCCGGTGGCCCCAATGATGGACCAGCAACAACCTTCGGAGGTGGATAGACCTCCTACCCTGACACGTCGATTAAGGAATTGGCCGTATTCGGTTCGCGAGAGGGCGTCGCGGCCGTCATTTTTGCGGGTCCAGGTCCGTCGGTTTCGGTCCCAGGCTGTTTTCACTAAGGGGAGGTTTACTAAAGGGAGGTTTGTCCACCGCCGAAGCCTCGGGTGTTGCTAGTGCCCCTGGGCCAAGGTGCCCCCAGGATTCTAGGGGTACCCCAAGCGGCCTCCGGAGTAGCCCTCACGAGGCCCAGAGGGCCCCATGGGGCTCCAAAGTGGAGCGAGAGAGCGACACGCCGCTCTTCGGACTTGGCGCGGCGGAGCCGGCAGAGGGGCCGAGGGTTTCGAGGGCCCCGCATCTCACAAATCACGGCGTCGGAGGTATGGAGCGTGTCGCGTTCAGGGTGGCTCAGGGCCCTGGCGAGAGTGCGGGTGCAGTGGCTCCGCTTCCATACCTCGAATAATATTAATGGGAGGAATCATATTGATATTAATAATAATAGTATGACCAATGGCAGTACTACAACTAATACTACTAGTTCTAATGATAATAGCAACGCTAGTAGCACATCTCACTGTTCTTATAACAGTAAGACTAAGAATACTATCAGCAGTCATAGCAACTACGAATCATACTGGAATAGTAATGGTATTAGTATGACTAATAACAACTACGGATCATACGAAACATGAGAAGCAGCAGCAACTTCATACACATAGTCTTTCGGAGCTCCGCGCGGATTTCCTGGATCTGCGCTGGCGCCCCGTGGCGGCGTCTCCGGCGCCGCCCCTGGCTCACTTCGCTTGCCAGGGGGAGGCGTTCAGCGCAGATCCAGAGCATCTGTGCGGATGTCCGAAAGGTGATGTTTCAGCCGCTTTTTGCCTCTGATGCCCCTCCCTGCCCCGCCCCGTCCGCCTCCGCTTTCCCTGTTGTTCGAAGTACAAACATTCAGGATGCAAAGAAACTCACAGCCACAAAGACTCGACGATTCCCCAGAACATTCGGAAGCTACGGAAGGTGAGGGGGAAGACGGAAAAAACCCGAAAATATGAGAAGATATAGGACATCCTAGGATTTGTATGTATCTATTTGTGTGTCCCTGGGCCCCTTGAACGATGGGTTGCAGGCGCTTGGATGCTTCCCAGGGCCGCCCAGCCCCGTGGGTGGCCACGGGGCTGCCCTTGGATTTTCTTGGCTTCCCTCGCTGGACTCCTCTGGGCCGAGAAGCACGTAGGGCTCTCCCGAAATCGTCAGAACGTCATCCGGCAGTTTTCACAATTCCTGCCACCTTTTCCTCCTCGTCACGCTCATTCCTCTCGCTCTCCGCCCCGGTCTGGCGTCTTGCGTATCCCTCATCTCTTGCCTGGTCTTGCCGTTCATGCTGCTCCATCGCGGCCCCATTCGGATCTCGCAGCCTCGAAAGGGCCTGAAGGCAGAGAACATGGGCAAAAGCTACGTAATGGCTTGTGTGCGTGATCATCGTTTGGATTCATGACTTCGCAGTTGATGGTGAAGCCCTTGTTTTTCTCGTTATGCCACACGACGCTCCTGCTAAGTCGAGGCGAGAGTCTAAGTCGACGCTCTTGCCACTGCGCGCCACTGGACCACAGTACCAGCCAAGGCTCCCATCCCCGCCGCCGATGGGCTCCATCCTGTGAGTAGTCCGCTCCCTGCCAGGACCTCCCATTTTAGTGACAATCGGGGGCCTCTCCGGTGCTGACAGATAATCCGGTCTCGATCCTCTTAGCACACGCAAAGGCGACAACATGCAAGCTGACTTCACTTCCGCACGGTGCTGTGCAGTGCTTCCATACTTGGCAACCGTTGGCTGCTAAAGCACGGCGCAGACACTCGCTGCCAACGCTCATGGGCACTGCTATGCGAGCACGTGGCTGAGGCGCTATGCTTGCATACAGCGATGGCGCGCAATGCCGTACACACGGTTCGGGAACACCGCTCTCGCATGAGCGTTCACGGGTGACGGCACGTCGCGGGCTATCTTCGGGAAGGAGCGGGGTTGGACAGCGAGGAGGGAGAATGCGCAGGGTGAGAGGGAGGAGCAGGGAGGAGGAGGAGGAGGAGGAGGAGGAGGAGGCGGGAGGGAGGAGCGAGGGAAAGAGGGGGAGGAGGATGGATGATGGATGATGGATGATGGATGATGATGATGGTGAGGATGAGGAGGAGGAGGAGGAGGAGGAGGGGAGGAGGAGGAGGAGGAGGAGGAGGAGGAGGAGGGGGAGAAGGCGGCGGAGGAGGAGGAGGAGGAGGAGGAGGAGGAGGAGGAGAACGGAGAAGGGGGAACGTTGGTCGTGCTTGTCGTTGCCTTCCCGTCGTTCAGATCTCGCTTCCACACGCCGCCCGCTCTCTTCTGCCATCACTCCCTGCGGCCCTCCCCCTGTCAGGTGTCGGCCGACGTCTCTTTCGATGTTTCGCTCGACGGGTGCCCCCCCCCCCCCCCCTTCCTGCGCCAAGCTCACAACGGAGAACAGAGAGAGGGAGAGGGAGGGAGAGAGACAGCGAGACGTGGGACTTCACGGGAGTGAGGGAGGGCTCGCGCCGGGAGGGGAGGGAAGGAGGAGGAGGAGGACGAGGAGGAGGAGAAGGAGGAGGACGAGGAGGAGGAGGAGGAGGAGCAGTTGAAGGAGGAGGAGGAGGATGCGGAAGAGGAGGAGAAGGAGGATGATGACCCCTCTGGGATGGGAGAGGGGAAAGCAGGCTACGCATGGAATGAATGACGAGTCAAAGAGGTCCGTGAGTTACATGGCCCATGAACACACGCAATGAGTTAACTGTCGTGTGGTGTATCTGATGCGCTCCTCTGACGGTGGCGGCGATGATGCACTCTTTTGATGGTGAAACGGCATATTGTGCCCTGCCTTGCCCGCGCTGCGCTGTTCATAGCGACTTCGCACCGTGCTGTCAGGTTGAACGGTTGGTGAGCAGCCCGCCTCCCCTGGCGCTGCACGTACGGCGCCAAGTTGGTGGGGCGTTTCTTCAATTTGAAGTTTCTGATCGGCGGCGAGCTCAGGGGTGAACTCTACGGGGGCGGGCCTTCTCAGAAGGTTTGAAGGCCTCCAGCCTTCTGAGAAGTTCTCTAAGCCAGCCCCGAAAACAGAGGCGGCTTCTCAGAAGGCCGGAGGCCTTTGAGGAGGCGTGCCGCCTTGTGGCCTGCCCCCTCCCACTTCCCCCTTTGGCTCGCCGCCGATATGTGGTCACTGAATCCCGTCCCTCCCCATCCACCCAGCAGGCAGCAGGCATAGCGAGCAAAGGGGAGCAGGGCGAGGGCGAGGGTGTCGCAACGGTGCCGGCACTTGCAGGAAAGCCAAGCCCTCGCCAACAGGCGCGAGGGCGGCCCCCCGACATTGCTTCACCTCCATGCCGGTGTCACGACGACGTCAGCGGGCTACACCTCTCTGCCGCTGGCACGGCTGCCGCCTCGGCAGTGTCAATGATCTCGGCGCCAGGAGGAGCGTCGTGACGGCGCCAGTTCAGATTTTCATCAGGAAGCTAAAATCCGATTCAGGACTCTGTGGGCGAACGCCGGATCGCCTGTCACAGTTTCCGCCTCGGCCAGATCGCGGACCCCGACATCAAGCGGTGAGGGAGAGGGAAAGCAAGGAGGAGGAGGAGGAGGAGGAGGAGGAGGAGGAGGGGAAGAAGGAGAAGGAGAAGGAGAAGGAGGAAGAGGAGAAGGAGGAGGAGGATGCGGAAGAGGAGGAGGAGGAGGAAGGAGGGAGGATGGAGGACCGAGGCGGAGGAGGGAGAGGAGCAGGAGAAAGATGAGTGAGGCACATTTATACACCTGATCGCGAGAGACCCTCCTTCAACCGCTGCTGGAGGAGCCTGGGCGGGTAGCCCGCTACATGTTGCGAGTGTGGTGCGAATACACTGGCGATCGCTGGTCACCCCGCTGGTCTGTTCGGCGCGTGTACGACGGTATTTCGCCATAGCTCCGAACATCAATATTCGCTTGACAGATTGCGGGTCGAAGCTGAAGCGAAAGTTGGGCGGAGTGGGAGGAGGTGGGTTGGAAGGAGGATGCGGAGGGAGGAGGGAGGAGCGGGAGAGAGAAGAGCAGCTGCTGAGATACCCATCCCCATCCTTCTAGCAGAGCTGCGATGTGCCAAAGTCGCCGCCCTGCCGAGCGCAGTTCTGACCCAAGTGGATCGGGGCTCGCTCCGATTCACGAGGGGATTGGTTGATGCTGACTGCCCTACCCGAGGGTGGAGGTGGACTAGTCACGGGGGAGGCGGAGGATTTGGAGGACCCTGGCTCACCTCCCCAGCACGAACAGAAGCCTTGCTGCTGACTGCCAGGCTCAGTAATGCTGAGAGTCATACCAGGCCTCTCGTGCTCTCTCCCTCTCTCTCTCTCTTTCTCCTTTGTTCCTATCTCTCGCTCTCTCTCTATATCTCTCTCTCCAAGTTCGGTTTTGGGCTGCGCTTACGTTCGTCTCGGCTGCTCGACTCTGCACCTCACGCTGCGATCCGATGCGGAGCGGGAGGAGGAGGAGGAGGAGGAGGAGGAGGAGGAGGAGGAGGAGGCGGAGGAGGAGGAGGAGGCGGAGGAGGAGGAGGAGGAGGAGGAGGAGGAGGAGGAGGAGGAGGAGGAGGAGGAGGAGGAGGGAGAGAGGGAGGGAGGAGGGTAGGGAAGGGGAAGACAGGAGGGAGGGAGAGGGAGGAGGGGGAGGGAGGAGGCAGGAGGGGAAGGGAGCGAGGAGGGAGCAGGGGAAGGGAGGAGGGGAAGGGAGCAGGGGAAGGGAGGAGGGGATGGGGAAGAGAGGAAAAGGAGGGAGGGAGCCACGGGTAGGGAGGGAGGAGCGCGCCGAGGCGGAGCCCGCCCCCCTCCCGCCCTTGCGCCGCGATGCCGGGAGAGGCGCCGGGCTCTCGGAGCCGGGCGCGGAGGCGGAGGCGGCCGAGGGCCGCAGGCGCCGCGCGGGCGGCTCGTCAGCGGCGTCGTCGGCGTCGTCGGCGACGGCGTCGGCGGCGGCGGCGTTGTGGGCGGCGCCGCAGCGGCGTCATCGTCGGCGGCGTCGTCGGCGTCGGCGTCGTCGGTGGGGCGGCGGGGGGCGGAGGTGGTCGAGGGCCGGAGGCGCCTCGCGGGCGGGCGGGGGGCGGCGAGGGGTCCGGGGCAGCGATATTCCGGCATTTGCGAAGCGTCCTGGCCCGCCTTTGGGCCCACCAAAGAAAGTTCTGAGAACCTTTTTGTGGTCTGTACTTAGAGCATTTCTGGCTGAGACTGTCTTAATTTCACGAATCGGGTTGATGCTCTAAGACCATTGCTTTTGTAGTTCGAACATGTTCGGGTTCGAAGAACATTTCGTGGTAGGACTATCGGAATGCCGGGACGGTCGGTCCCCGCTCAAGATATGGGAGGGGTAGACTGCGGGAAGTTCGAGGTTCGAGGTTGTGGTTTTCGGACGTTTTCGTCGGATCTCGGCGGTTTCCCAGCCTCGGGATGCGTTCCAGCAGCTGCGTCTCACCGAGAGCGTTCGGGGGTACCCCGATCGTTCCGAAGGGCCGCCTGAGAGCCGAGTTGTGGCCCGAGAGTTACTCGGGTCAGGGGGGTCAGGAGGGAATATGCTCAGGGGAGGATGCATCGACCCCCAATCGCCCATCCATCGCCGATATGGCCCGATGGCCCGCCTCGCCTAGGAACGTGCGGATTCGCCAGCGGGGGCCCATCGCCGATCTATCGGCGATGTACCGCCCACTCCAGGTCGATGTGAGAGCTCCCCAGGAGCTGGTCCCTCTCTACCGATGGCCCTCACGGGGGGTCGGCGGGGTGGCTGCGCGCCCGGCAGCGATCCTCACAAGCTCACCACACGGTGCGGTGACCACATCTTCGGATGCAACCCCCGGGAGGTCAAATTCAGCATCGGTGCTGGTGTCCCTCGTCGATGACCGCTTGGCTCAATTCGGCTTCATCCCGCTTGATCTGGCTTAATTCGCTGCATCCCGTTTAATCGGGCTTCATCCTGGGCCTATTCCGGCCGAGTCTGGCATCATGGCCCCCTAGTCGGGTTTCGTAGCCCTTGGACCGTTCTTGCGAAGACCTCCAGGAGTTGCTGTCTAACACACAGTGTGGTGATTCAGTGGTGATTCGGGGTGGCTGCACGGTTTTGGGACTTGGGCCGATCTCCGAGGACGTGTCGAGCCACGGGGTCCTGGGCCTGTCTTCCACCACCGCCACCAGACGCTGGAGGGGGGAAGGAGGTGGAGGATGATGAGGACTCGAGGAGGACGAAGAGGAGGAAGAGGAGGA